TTCATTTCCGGTACAATCTTTCGTAAGGGATTCAATATGATGCTTCTGGATCGAAGAGAATAAAAGAGATGAATAGAATGTTCCTTGGCAGTATTTATTTGGTATGCAGTCTGTCCTAATAGATTCAACGGCATTCTGCTCCATTGAAGTGGATGAAAGATATGAATAGAGTCTTATTTAGGAGTATTCATTTCCGATGCTGTTTTTTCTAATAGTTTTAATGCCGTGCTTCTAGATCGAAGCGGTTTGAAAAAATGAACAGAATCTTCCTTGGGAGTATTCATTTCCGATGCAGTTTTTCCTAATGCATTTAATGTCGTGCTTCTTGAACATAGGGGATGAAAGTGGTGACCAGAAGGTTCGTTGGCAGTATTCATTTTCGATGCTGTTGTTCCTAAACGATTTAATGTCGTGCTTCTACATCGAAGCTTGTGAAAGAGTTGAAGAGAATCTTCCTCGGCGGTGTTCATTTCCGAGGCAGTTTTTCCAATATATTTAATGTCGTGCTTCTACTTCGAGGTGGATGAAAGATTTGAATAGAATCTTTTTTGGTAGTATTCATTTGGGATACCGTCTTTCCTAATAGATTCAACGTCGTTGTTCTACATCGCAGCATACGAAAGAGATGAATAAAATCTTTGTTGGCAGTATACATTTTCGATGCAGTCTTTGCTTATAGATTCAACCGCGTTTCTCTCGATCGAATTGGATCACAGGGATGAATAGAATGTTGATCGACAGTATTCATTTGTGGTGCAGTATTTTATAATATATTTAACGTCATTCATGTGGATTGAAGTTGATGAAAGAGATGAATGCAATGCTCTTATTTGGCAATATTCATTTCTGGTGCGGTCTTTCCTAATAGATTTAACGTCCTGCTTCTACGTCGAAGCGAATGAAAGAGATGAATAGAATCTTCCTTGGCAGAATTCATTTCCGATGCTGTCTTTGCGAATAGATTGAATGTCATTCTTGTACATCGAATCGAATGAAAGAGATGAATCGAATCTTGCTTGGCAGTATTCGTTTCCGGTGCAGTGTTTCCTAATAGATTGAATGTCATTTTTGTACATCGAAGCGAATCAAAGAGATGAATAGAATCTTTGTTGTCAATGTTCGTTTTTGACGCAGTCTTTCCTGATAGATTTAACGTCATTTTGCTACATCGAAGGGAATAAAAGAGTTGAATGGAATGTTCGTTGGCAGTGTTCATTTCCGATATAATCTTTCGTAAGGGATTCAATATGATGCTTCTGGATCGAGGGGAATAAAAGAGATGAATAGAATCTTCCTTGGCAGTATTCATTTCCGATAGAATCTTTCGTACGGGATTCAATGGCATGCTTTTGAATGGAAGAGAATCAAAGAGATGAATAGGATATTGGTTGACAGTATTCATTTGCAATGCAGTCTTATGTATTGGATTCATCGTTCTTCTTCTAGTTCGAAGGTGTGGAAACGTTTGATGAAGATTGTGGTTTGTACTTTTTATTTATTAGATGGGGTTTGATCAGATTTTCGATCGCATGGCTTTGGAACGAAAGGAATAAGGTAGATGAATAAAACGTTCGTAGGTACTATTTGTTGGATATGTTATCTTCGTTGAGTGTATGACGACGATATTTGGGGATGGAAACTATTGAAGTATGAGAATGAAATGATCGTGGAAGCAATTCATTTTCTACGCGATCTTTGATGAAACTTTCAGCGCCATAGCTTGACGGCGAAATACATGCAATAGGTGGGTGAAGGGTTCGTAGGTAGAAGTTACTAGCCATGTGGTCGTTAATTAAAGTGTCAGAGGTATACCTTGGCATCGGAATGGTTAAATTAGATGAACGAATCCTTCGTGCGTACTGTTTATTTGCTTTACGATGTTCATTTATATTGTGAGGACCGTATGTCGGTTGGAACATAATCAGGAAATTGGATGGAATGTTGGTTGGTACTATTCATGTATTATGCTACCATTACTCATACTATCAAAGTTAAAGCTTTGCATCGAACTGAATGGAAGGGTTGAATTAATTCGTCTTGTATACTATTCATTTGCTATATAGAATAGAAGCATCCTCTAGTTTGAATAGTATATCCTCTTGCATCAGTAAAATATTTCAATAGAACAATTAAGACACTAAGTATGTTATACTATCAAAAAATATCTCTATAGTAGCTTATCATATGTCTTATCTTTTTTACGAACTACGACTGACACAACAGACATCAGACATCCATGTTCATCACCAAATGGCAAAATCATGTTCGAACGTCTCGTTTTTTGTTTCACTATATTTTTATCTTTATTTCAAAAGTTTCAGTATATTTTTTTATTTTAAATAAACTATCCTAAGGACAAAATTAAGGACAAAATTAAGGTCAAAATTAAGGACAAAATTGCTTGCGCATATACATTAGACTACACGTCACTCAAAACTTCATCAATTTTGTTTGTGCATAAAAATAATGAGAGAGAAAGAAAGAAAGACTACATGATAATCAACAGTAATGAAGAAAGAATATACAGGTAAATCAAGGTACGCTGTCATCTTGAATACGATAGTCATCAACAGAGCAACGATTCTATTCACATGAGAAATATCCCCGTGATGTTTTTCAAAACAGTCTTTCATATGCACATATTAGACTATACGTCAATCAAAACATCAACAGTTTTGTTTGCACACTAAAATGAAGATAAAGTATGATAAACAAGCAACATATACATAAAAAAAATATTCCATTTCTCTTAAATTCCTTTATGGCAAGGACTGGAAACAGAAAAGTAACATATTACTTAAAAACAAACTAACTTCAATCAAATACCGCAGTAATAGGATTCAAAATAAAATGACAAACTACAAATAGGATCTATTTAATTTCTAATGCATAAAATGTTTCAGCGGACATAAAATCAACGATAAAAATACGAATAAAAAATATCATCTCTATTCAATCTCAACGTTAAGAGCGTTTAAAATAAAATAACAAAATATAAATAAAAAAATAATCATTTGTCTTGAATTTATTTGTCAAAATGAGTGTCAAATAAAGGAAGAAAATATAAATAGAAAATAATTAATATCTGTTGAATTTTCTTCTGAAGATGATTTAAAATAAAGAAATAAAATATAGAGAAAAAATAATCATTTGTCTTGAATTTATTTGACAAGATAATTTAAAATAAACAAAAAAATAAATAAGACACAACTAACTTGCATTATACTTATTTGTCAACATCATTCAAAATAAAGAAACAAAATATAAATAAAAAAGATAATAATTGGTCCTGAATTTATTTGCCAAGATGGTTTAAAATAAAGGAAGAGAATGTAAAAAGAAAGTAACTAATTTTTGTTGAAATTCATTCCAAAGATGAGTCAAAATAAATAAAGAAAAATAAATAAAACACAACTTGAATTGTATTTATTGGTCAACATCATTTAAAATGAAAGAAGAAAACGTAAACAGAAAATTACTAATTTTTGTTGAATTTCAAGATTAAGAGTGTTTCAAATAAAGAAAAAATATACAAGTAAAAAATAATAATTGTTGTAGAATTTCTTTGTGAAGATCATTTAAGATAAACTAACAACAATATATAAAACATAACTAACTTGTATTGAACTGATTTGTGACGATGATTTAAAATGAAGAAACAAAACATAAATAAAAAATAATAATTTGTCTTGAGTTTATTCGTCAAGATTATTTAAAATAAGCCACGAAAAAATAAATAAAACACAACTAACTTGCATTGTACGTATTTGGGTGTGGGTGTGGGGTGTGGGTGTGTGGGTGTGTGGGTGTGTGGGTGTGGGGTGTGTGTGTGGGTGTGGGGTGTGTGTGTGGGTGTGTGGGTGTGGGTGTGGGTGTGGGGGGGTGGGTGCGGGTGTGGGTGTGGGCAAGGGGGAAAAAGCAGATTTTAACCCTTGAAATCTTTTGAAATCTTTAGAAATCTTTAGGAATCTTTAGAAATCTTTAGAAATCTTTAGAAATCTTTGGAAATCTTTAGAAATCTCTAGAAATATTTGGAAATCTTTCGGAGTCTTTCAGAATCTTGAAATCTGCTTTTTCCCCCTTGATGTACAGTAGATGAAATTACAGGTATAAATGAAGAAAAAAACGAAGCTGTCAAATAGAAAATAGTCACACTTGATTGATTCAGATTGTGTGTGTTAGATGATGACAAGAAATGATAAAGCATCCATCATTTGGTTTGTTTTCACTGGGAAAAAACCCAAAATAAATAATGGAGAAAGTATATGACAAGCATGTGCAGTAGATGAAATAGAATTACAGGATTTTCTGCCGTTGTAAACATTTATTTATGGTGTGGGTGTGGGTGTGGGTGTAAGTGTGTGGGTGTGGGTGGGTGTGGGTGTGTGGGTGTGGGTGGGGTGTGGGGTGTGGGTGTGGGTGTGGGTGTGGCGTGTGAGTGGGTGTGGCGTGTGAGTGGGTGTGGGTGTGGTGTGGGTGTGGCGTGTGAGTGGGTGCGGGTGTGGGTGTGGGTGTGGGTGTGGGTGGGTGTGGATGTGGGTGTGAGTGGGTGTGGATGTGGGTGTGAGTATACAGAACATGAGTACTCACACCCACATCCACCCCCACCCACCCCACACACCCACCCACACCACCCACACCACACCCACACCACACCCACGCCACACCCACACACCCACACACCCACACCCACCCACACCCACCCACACCACACACCCACACCCAGGTTGAATCTATAGATTCAACCGGCTATATTATCTCCTAGACATTTGAACCAACATTTATCGTCATATTGTAAGTAACCCATATAACCATATCTTTACATTGATTCTCGAATATCCAATGAAATTCACATCCGATGTAGAGATAAAAGAATCGAGAACGTTAGTTTTAATATTCTATTCAATTATTTAAAACAAATACGATCTTCTGACTTCTACAGCTAAAATGTTAAATTGAATTTAACGACAGATCGCCTGACACTATCTTATTGTAAATTTTCAACAACTAACAACAAATTTTGACTAAAAGAAAAAATTAAAAATTCTCTTCTAAAGAAAAGCAGCTGTTTGACAATAAGTTATTTTTTAAATATATGCTATAATTATATTTTTTTGTATTTCATGTAGGCATATTGACAACACATTTTCGATTTATTACATAAGTAGGATAAAACATGTGTTTGCTAGAGTTCTTGTTTTTAAAATTTGTTCAATTTCCTCAAGCAACTTATACTCATAGAGAAAATAGCATAGACGAAACAAAAATATAGCGACACATATGTTTTAGATGCAATTTCATGTTCTTGTAGCGCTAAATATAGTCTATCAAAACTGAATGATACTTATTTTTGTTTAGCTGTCATAGACAAGAAGTTAGTGTTGAGATCAAATAATACAATAGAGATGAACCTATGTTCACACTCATATCTCTTGACTAACTTGACTACTAAACCCAAACCCAAACCCAAACTCATCCCAAACTCAATATCCAAACTCCCAAACGGTTTGGGTTTGAGTTTGGGCTTGGGTCATGCCTAATGAGAATACCAACACTCACATCACACCAGTATTCACACGCAAACCACAAATCTATTTTGAACTTGCTGAACCCCTAAGAAAGCAGATCTAGACTCTCTATAGATAATAGATGACATGAGCTAGGAAAAATAACTGATAAATGGAGTATCTCACAGAAAGTTCCTACAATGGCGTCATTGTCGCTATCAAAACGTTTTTATTTTATTGATATTTAATTGCGGAACAAAAAAGAACATCGATTAGAATGAAGCCTGTAGAGTATCGACTTGGTTACTTCGAAAGATCGTTGGTATTTTCATGCGATTCGTAGTTATTTGATTTTTGTTTTTCTTGCCACTGTTCGCCTGCGTTCCATTATCAGTTTCAATTTTTTCTTCATCTTCATCCGTATGAAATGATCGATTGCGTGTTTCGGGTAGAAAATAGATAAAGCCAGTCAAAATAATTGTCAAAGAGGCATAGACATAGAATGTGACTTTAAACTTTTCATCGCTGACAGCAGCATCAATGATAGGCGCTGAAATGGCTCCACAACGTCCGATAAACACAAAGATACCATTTGCTAAGCCACGCATAGATGTTGGAAACATCTCTGGAACATAAATCCAAGCTATCGAATTAGCACCACTGATCATCAGTTTTCCTATCTGTGAAATAACAACAGTAACGATAGGAAGTGGCTTCGTAATGAATAGAATTATTAGAACACAGATTGATGTAAACAACAAACAGATCATCAATGTATACTTTCTTCCAAGTCGTGTAGTAATCAAAATACTAACGCTTACATATCCAATAGCTTCAACGGCTGCACCAATGATGGTATTCCAATATGGACTCACTGCATCATTCATGGCACTGAGTCCATAGGAAATTTTTACATACAAAAGCATGGCAACAAAACCGATCAATCCACAAGGAATCAATAGAGGCACATGTCTTAGAAACTTTTCCTTAGTTGTTCGTGCTGCATGTTTAACTTGTCGCGCGGCAATATCAGGATCTTGAATTAACTTAATATAATATGGATGCCATTGATCACGTGTGCGGCCATTCTTTGTGGCTATTTTATTGAGACAATGTTCAAGTTGATTGTAGTTTTTTCTACTAAATAACCAATATGGTGATTCGGGAACAAAATAAAGATATGGTAAAATAAGAGCAAAATAACCACTAATAATCCATTTGAGAAGTAGCCAATCATGAGCCAAATAAGCAAAGAGGGTCACCAGAGCTTCACCAAAAGTGAAGGCAATCGAGGCAAGATTTCCAGCAAGACTTGTATGCGAAGATGACGTTAATTCCATGAGAAGAAGAAACACCATGGGATATGCGTCAATGCTTGAAAACACCTGGTTAACCGACAGAAGAGCAAATCTAGATTATTTCATTCGATATCAATCAAAAATAGTTAGAAAGTTTATCGTTCAATCATCTGTTCAATAAATATGGCAACCCTATCTCACAAAGCAATTCCGTTGCTTCTATCCTACTGCAAATCTATACTTCGATAGGAATTCTATTCGCAACGAATTTCTGTGTTATCGAATGCTTCAGAAGATGGGAATTCAATACAGTCTCTTTCACATAAAACATTTCTTTGTGCTATTGACCGTTGATAAGTATGCCTCTTAGATCTGGATTCGTATGATCTATTCAGGTTTTCGAAAGTTTCATGCGACTCGCTGATACAAAGCTCTTCATCTTTTTATGGTGTTTCCAATATGACAACAGACCATGTTTCCTAATGAAAGATCCAATAATGTTCTAGACTACCTTCTGCATGCAAACAACTTTCAATGTAGTCGTTCTCGACCGATTTCTGCATTCAAGTTGTACGATGGCCTTTGCTTAAGGGCCCCCCCCCTCAAAAATCGATCTCAGCCCAGGTACGTTCAAATGGGCTGAAATTTGGAGCATACGTTGGGGCTGAAGTGAGGAGGCTGTGGTAAAATTTTCAGCTCGATACCATGACGTTTGACAGAGATATGAACCAAACAAGGGTCAAAAATAGCTCATTTCAGCGCCAAAATTTCTCTGTGGACTCTCACTATATATATATATTTTTTTTTTTGTTTGAAAGCTTGTCTCTAGGGCTAGCCCCTCTCGTGGCCCTTTTCTCTAAATTCTTACTTTTTAAGCGAAGAAAAGGAGTGACAAGTTCAATGACTCAAAAAACTCCGAAAAAATGGCGCTTTTTCTATGAAGATGTGTTCTTATATAATAATAAAAAGCTTATTTTAAAAATCGGGCCACGAGAGGGGCTAGCCCTAAACACGAGCTTTCAAACAAAAAAAAATATATGACTTTATATTGAACAGTGATCGAATGGCGGTGGCGCTACGTCGTCGAACCTACCTTCTGAGAAAAATGCTAAAAAATTTTTAGAAATGGATTTTTTCATTCAAATTCAGAGCAAGCCATATTACAATGGTATATTTCATTGCACCATTTTAAAGGACGTAAAATATGAAGGTAGCTAGCGCTATCTGACGTGAGGGTTCATATAAAAATGTTCTATTCAATAATAATGCAAGTGGGGGCGCAATTTTTCTGAAACTGAAAACCATGAAATTTCCTCCAAATACATGGTAGTAGATTTAAAGTTTCCTGTGATAAGTCTTTGAAAATCCGATTATTTTCCAAAAAACTATATATATTCTGAAAGAGGAAGCTTCGCTGCATCTTCCTGTAATAAAAACTCAACTTCGATATTGTCCCGAAAAACTCGATTTTCTGAGGGGGGGGGGCCCTTAAACTAACAATTCATCGAGGTAAGTATGTCAATGTGACTATTACCATTTTATTTCGTTGGCTATTTCATGTGAGTGAACTACATTGGAATTTTTTTTTTCTAAAGCTTCAATTATGTTCAAGAAGTAATAACAAAGGTAGTATTTCAAGTTTACTAACATAATCATTTCTGCTATTGCAATAAAAAACAAAAAGTTCATTAGAGAGTTTTCTCTAGCTTACTTTGCATCAACACTCATTGGGATTGTTTGCAAAAATATTTCAGTAAGTAAAGGAACCAGGAAGACTACAATAGTCAAAATTTGGATCGTTTTTCGTCGTCCAATCTTGTCAGACATCGTTGCGGTCACAATCACTATAAAACTGTTATTTAACAGGTATTATTCACATATATTAACCATTCATATAGATGATTCTCTTACCCCCCAACATTATATAAAGTAGATAGCCATGTCCGTTTCACATCATTATGACAAACAAGATTGGCTTCCTCTGTAAATGTTCGACCAAATGCACTTCGATCATAGACAAAGTCAGTACACACTGATCCATTAAAATCGTTGCATTGTAATGTCTGTTGCCATGTATCGAGAAAATTTTGATGAGTTTGATTGATTGCTTGATATTGATCGTCGTGTGGCCATAACCATAATGGTAGTCGACATCGAAATAACGGTTCAGCAACTCCAAATACGTAATAATAGTTCGTAATACCATTGCCAATGGGGATCAAATTGAGGAAAATAAAATGCAGAAATTGAAAACGACCGAAATCACCACATCGTCGAAGCACATTTTCCAATGAGTTCTCACTCGACATAGAAACGATTTATGGATGCCGTCCAAGGGTAACACGACCGACTTTGTGACTTTAATAACTTTCAAAACTATGCATCCCCCAAACAAAAGTCTTTCTCTCGTCTTTCTTATTTTGTGAGGCACGATCTAAGAGGAACGTTGAAGTGTATAGTATAGAAATTTTGCATCCATCCACTCCCCTCTCCACACAGACCGTGACAGTAAAAATAATTACGTACTTACCTAATTAATTAATTCATTTTTAACTAATATTTCATTAGGTAATCATTGATCATCCATCACAGACCGTGACAGAGAAACTGTAGTTCTAAAGCATCATATAAACGGATAGCTACAAATGTATTGCAAAGAAGTGGAACAAAAGGATTTTCATTTTATTAGTAACAATAGAGTCATCGTGTTTGACATTTTGAATCCCGCAAGGGGTAGCGCTAACAGCGTTTGTTATCGTGCTTCATGTACATCAAGTTTATTAGCAAGTAAAGATATGGCATAAGAATTTTATTTCAATATCATATACAGATCATACTAAAATATAACGCTTGTGTCATATCTTTACTTCGTAATAAATTGGATGCATATGAAGTATGATAACACAATAAGAACAAAGAGAAAAAATATTTTTGTGGAGGTGTGTACGTGAGGTTAGCAATGTATTCGAATAATTTCAGCAGTGACATATCTAAAAGCCTGTTCTAGATCTCCTTGTCAGTGTTCCAAGTACAACTTGGCTAGGTCTATCCAATGATTCTCTCAACTTTGGTTGAAAGCAAAAGTGTCGAAGGTAGAAATGTTGAAAGGAGAATGTCGATAAAATTAAAAAGTAGAAATGTCGAATGTAAAAACATCGAAAGTAAAAATGTCGAGGAAAAGGTCGAAACCTGAGCCGGAGATTAGTGAATGTATTCCGGTTAAGAAAATAATAAGCAAGTAATTGTATAAAATCAAATGTTTATTATATTGAAAGAAAAAAAGTGAAAGACAAGCAAAATACGTTGAAACTTTAATTTAACGATATTAAATAATCGTTTGATTGTACAATCATAACTTTTTTTAGCTACAGCTAATGATAAACCATTAAGGAGATCAGATGCTGTAATCAGATAATTATTATATCGATTATACAATGTATTTATTCGACTTTGTAATGCTGTTGTCCTCTTGTTTTTCTGCTTAGATGCACCGGAAGACCATTGAAATATAATATGTTGCACTCGTTTTTCCTCTGCTTTAATAAAATTGATCGAGATCCATATATTTTGATGATTTTGATAAATGCGAGAATTAATTATATTATGATAACTAGGGATGCAACAGTGACGATAACCGTAGGTACGGTTACCGCTTCAACTACGGTAACCGTACCTACGGTTACCGGTCTAACTACGGTAATCCTAGGTACGGCACGGCTATCGGTCCAAGCCGGTTTTCACAAAGCAAAAAGTTTTTTAAGAAAATAACGATTCTTTATAAAAGTTGACGAAAGTAAATCGAGGTCGAGGAATCCGAATCTAAAGTCAGCTTTTCCATCTGAGCTTTCATTGATCAGAAAAGGAACCAATCAGAAACAAGTTTTTTTTATTTTAAGGCTTTTTAACTTTTTGATAAAACTTTCCAATAGGATATCGATATCTGAGAATCCGAATCTGAAATCAGTTTTTCTGTCTGAGCCTTCATTGATCAAAAAATGGACCAATCAGAAGCAAACCTTTTTATTTTAAGGCTTTACGATCTTTTGATAAAACTTTGCCATAGGTTATCGATATCCAGGAATCAGAATCTGAAGTCATTTTTTTGATCTGAGCTTTCTTTGGTCAGAAACCGAACCAATCAGAAACAAGCTTTTTTTCCCTCGACTGAAGGGATGGTCATATGAATTAAAATGAGTTTGTGATCTGGCAGTCATTGAGATAGTAACACATTCAGTTGGGTTAGCGTGATTACAGGCTCGATGATCTGAGTAACATCAAATATATATGAAGTTTTTTCAGGCAGCCACTTCAGTCAATTAAATATTTTCTGTATTTTGCTGTGAATCAATCAAGCTTTATATATTTCATATGACTCTCCCTTCAGTCGAGAGAAAAAAAGCTCGTTTCTGACTGATCCATTTTCTGACCAATGATAGCTCAGATCGAAAAAATGACTTCACCCAGGTCAACGTGAACGGTTAGAGAGCGCGTTCGGAGGCGTTCTATACGGACGAACAGCATCGAATGCAGTCCGAACCCGTTTTCATACGTTCGTGCGTTTGGAACGCGTTCTGTAATCGTTCGCCTCTACCTGGGCAGATTCTGATTCCTGGATGTCGATAACCTATGACAAAGTTTTATCAAAAGATCGTAAAGCCTTAAAATAAAAAGGTTTGCTTCTGATTGGTCCATTTTCTGACCAATGAAAGTTCAGATCGGAAAACCGACTTCAAATTCGGATTCCTGGATATCGATAACCTATTGGAAAGTTTTATCAAAAGGTCGAAAAGGCTTAATATAAAAAACCTCTTTTCTGATTGGTCCATTTTTTGATCAATGAAGGCTCAGACAGAAAAACTGATTTCAGATTCGGATTCTCAGATATCGATATCCTATTGGAAAGTTTTATCAAAAAGTCAAAAAGCCTTAAAATAAAAAAAACTTGTTTCTGATTGGTTCCCTTTCTGATCAATGAAACCTCAGATGAAAAAGCTGACTTTAGATTCGGATTCCTCGACCTCGATTTACTTTCGTCAACCTTT